GGACAATGCTGCAGGCGGTTTTAATTTAAAATCACTATTATGCTATCCACAATAAGGGTAGATTTCCCTTATTGTAGACTGTAAAATAGTGATGATTAAAAAAAATACAAAAAAGGTCATCTTCCCAATGAGGTTTACGTCATTTATTTTATTTTATTTATTTACTAGTAACTCGCCCCAGTTTCGCACGGGTGTACATGTATTATACCTATAAACCTTCCTCTTGAATCACTCTGCCTATTAAAAATAAACCGCTTCAAAATCCGTTGCATAGTTTTAAAGATTTAAGCGTACATAGGGACAGACAGCGACAGCGATTTTGTTTTATACTATGTAATGATGTGTCCTGTAATTTCACTGCCTTATCTCTATTTATTTGCAATTACTAACTCTAACTATATAAATAAATTTCATCATTATTTATGTAATAACAAAAGATGTTCGAATTTCAAAATTCAATATTATTTATTTACAATTACTAACTCTAACTACATAAAAAAAATTTATCATTATTTATATAATAACAAAATATGTTCGAATTTCAAAATTCAATATTATTTATTTACAATTACTAACTCTAACTACATAAATAAATTTTATCATTATTTATTTAATAACAAAAGATGTTCGAATTTCAAAATTCAATATTATTTATTAACAATTACTAACTCTAACTGCATAAGTAAATTTTATCATTATTTATGTAATAACAAAAGACGTTCGAATTTCAAAATTTAATATTATAAATTTGTAATCATGAACTCTAACTACATAAATAATGATAAAATTTATGTGTGTAGTGAGAGTAAGTGATTTTAATAAATAATATTACATTTTAAATAGGTTTCTGTTTCGTGATGTTTGTAACATCGATGAACCAACAGATAGCTTGTTTGTTAAAGGTAATTGATTTACCGGACCATGTTTAATCGTTACATAACATTACTTACATAGGTGCATGCTGTTAATCAAAATTAAATATTAGCTGTTCGTTCTGATTGCGCATGAAACTAGGTTTATTAGTTATTGGACTAATAGTCCTAGTATCAGTTCCTAGTATGGCCTCGGTGGGCTAGCGGTTTAGCATACCGCCTTATCTTCGATGGGCGCAGGTTCATGAATATGATTGTTTGTTTGTTTGTTTGTTTTATTTACGATAAAAAAATATATCTATGTATTTATATCAGTTATCTAGTACCCATAACACATGCTCTGCTTACAATGGGACTAGATGGCGGTGTGTTAATTATCCAGGATTATTTATTATTATTATTATATCTACTAGCAAAATAATAAATAGATAGAGTTCAATATTAAGGTGCACATAGATACAAACTTAGCGGTGTCTAGTGGGATGCTTTGGAGTGAGTACGAGTCTCACAGTACCTGCTAGCCTCCCCCGGGGCGGGCGGTTCTGAATGAGGGATTTTCTCCATGTAAAAAAAAATGTTAATTTTTACATTCCAACACAAATAAAATCTACACTACTGTATACAATTAGGACGAAACATAGCTAGAGTTCCTAATTAGCACTGACGCAGCGTTAATTTTTTAGCAATAGCTGATTACGCAAAACTGCATTTTTAGATCTGATAGCGGATATGACCAATTTCGAACTGGACAGTAGGGATAAAAAATATTAAGGTAAACACGTAACGTTCATAATCGGCTAAAATGTCCTACATTAATAAATGATTTTTGAATTTGAATTCATCAGGTTTCAACCAGTATGAAGAAAACCAAATTAAAGTATTTTCTACATGGACCGAAATTTCACTGTTTAATTTGTTTTTATTACTATAATGATGAACAGTTTGAGTGCCCACCTGATGGTAAATGGTAACTGTCGACTAAATACATAAACAGTATCACATTTGTAGTATATAATAGTATTCTCGAAGCTGAACAGCTTCCCAAAGGAGCAGATAAGTGATGGCGTACAGATAATGTATTGCTGAGTTTAGCGTACATAATAGCACAGATAACACACTGTTTTACACTTATTGTTTTGGATTCAATTATGTTATAAAGTCCCAACTTAAATATTTTTTCTTGTATATGGTATTTTTTATCTACAGACAGTGATCATTTATATATATATATACTCGTATATGTATAAGATCAAATACCGCATTTGTAAATAGCTCATCCCAAAGGTAGAATCCTAAAAAAGGCTTAAATTTAAAAAACAATACAAATCCCTTATTTCCTTCCTGTCTGAATCGACATTTTCCGGTTTTATCCAGTAATTCCAGTTCAAGGGTGGCCATTATGAATATTGAATACGAAAAGAAAAGAAAAGAAAAATATAATATTATTTCATTTTTTACGTTACAATACACAGTTATATTCATATTATATTAAGTTATATTTTATGAAACTACTAGTTTTGCCCGCGGTTTTGCTCGCGTTAATTTATCCCCTCAGGGGTGGAATTTATCAAAATCCTTTCTTAGGGTATACCTACGTCATAGTAGCTTTATGTATGCAAAGTCTCAGTCCGATTGGTTTAAATTGATAGAGTTTCATACAAACTTTCAACCCCTATTTTATTCTCTTGGTGGTTGAATCAAAATCCTTTCTTAGCGGATGCCTACGTCATAACATCTACCTGCATGCCAAATTTCAGTCCGATCCGTCCAATGGTTTAGGCTGTGCGTTGATAGATCACTATGTCAGTCACCTTTGAGTTATATATATTTAGATATTGTATTACAGGTAATTTCATAAAAAAATAATATATGTATCTAATATAATTAGAAATCTGGTTCATTACATCATTACACTCATGAAATTCAATAACTATCACCAAAAAATAAATTGGATGTGTGAAAATAAATTATAAACTCTTCATTACTAAATCGATGCTGTATATAGACAGATTATTATCTTCTTATTATTATTCTATCAAATAAAAAAAAATAAAAAAGGCTAGTAGTTAATATACACAAATAGATATCACGGCTTTTATCCCAGATGGGATAGTCAGAGGCTTTGTCGAATTTGTTGTGGTGAATGCAAAACTTAACATGCCCACATTTTACAAGGTGCATGTAGGTACATCTATACATATAAACAAAATTGGAGTGTCTGTTTGTAATATTAAAATAACCGTTTTTTACTACATGCATATGCATGTAGTAAAAAACGGTACCTTATTTATATTCATATGAATATAAATAAGGTACATACACCAAAATAACATTTTTTACAATTTTTGTCTGTCTGTTTGTTCCGGCTAATCTCTTAAATGGCTGGACCGATTTTGACGGGACTTTTTTGGTAGGTAGCTAATGTAATAAGGAGTAACTTAGGCTACCTTTATTTTAGAAAAATAAAGTTATATTCCACTCGGACGAAGTCGCGTGTACAGCTAGTTTAATGTAAGTTTAAACTCTCGACTAAATTCTGATCTGATAAGGGTGTTATTTTCGTCGTATAGTGAAATTAACACAAAGTTCTTTTAGGTCAGAATAGAATAGAATAGAAAATTCTTTACTTAAATAATTAGAAATATACGCACTTTGAATAGTCATATATTTTTTAATCTACCGCTGACGAGTACCATGATCGAACAAGACAATTTGCTTATATACCTTTTCAATAATTGTTTTAACTTTACATTTTTAAGTTGAAATACGTGAATTACTACCTACGAACTAGCACTAAACTCAGTCGAGTCTAAACATTCAACAGCAAGAATTGAACTTGCGAAAGTAGAAAGAAAATATTTATCGATACAACCCTAATATTTAGTATACGGTCCCGACATTATCCCTGAATTGAGATAACATCATATTTGTAATGCATTATTCATGAACTCTTGTTTTGATGGGTTACTAGAATTAATCTTCTTATTATATTTATCCAATCATAACCACATGCTGTGTTTTATAGAACAGAATAGAATAGAAAATTATTTATTCGAATAATTTTGAAACACTTTTGAATAGTCATCACTTTTTTTTTAAAATACTGCTCATTCGGAATGTATAAGTATAATTGTAATATTATATATGTGACCCCTGCATATACCACACAGCAGCAGCATAAGTAGAATTTGTACAAAATTAGTCTAGCCTATTTTAGATAGTCGCAAATCAGCATTTTTTTAGTCAACTATTTCAAAACAGCTGTTTTGGTTGGAGTCGGTATGTCATCATGAATACTTACGGCTATATTTTACCATCGCACTGCTGATCATTGACACGGAATTCATCCCCACACGCTAGAATCAAAGTAGTGTCAGATAAGGCAGTTTCAGAGGAAATCTCCTCTGAAACTCCTGTGAGAAACGTGAGGATTCCATCACACGTACACTTAGATTGTGGAGTGAACTACCTGATAGTGCAGTTTCAGAGGAGATTTCTCCCGCGTACACTTAGATATTGGAATGAACCACTTACCGAGGTTTTCTGAAGAGACTATGGCATGGGATTTTTCAAGAAGGGTATATTAAGGTTCCTTAACTATCGGAACGCGCAAATGAATTCCCTAGTGTTTGTTTAGACTACTGTAATCGTTTACCATCAGATTTGCCGTATGCTTGTTTGCCGACGTAGTAGTAAAAAAATAAAAGAAAACTTCTATTTATCTTGCACTCAAGATATAAAGTCTACTAAATTGTGTAGTTAGTCGATTTGCAGACCTAGACATATTTAGATGTAATTTGCTGTATTTTCGTAGAATGGCAGTAAATGATTTAGGCAGTATATTCACTTAAGATTGTTTTTCTTTTAATATATGTGTATATATATGTATGTAATCGACCTAAGTGAGACATATTGGGAAACTAGCTTAGTATGATGTAAATAAATCATCAGTAGATAGAGAAATGTATAAACAAACGAAGCCGCAGGCATCCCATAGTTGTATATATGTAGGTAACAAATTTCACGATGATTGGTTAAGTCGTTAAGACGTGAAAGCGTAACATACAAACTTTCGTATTTATAATATTAGTTATGCGCTGCAACTTTAATGGTTTTTCTTTGTTACAGTTACCACCAAGATTGCTGCGGTGGACAGTCACCGTTGCACTGATATTAGCAGTTATTGCTCCCACATCAGACTCTACATGTAAGTATTATATATTAGAGACCTTCTTATAATTCCATGGATACACCGTGCGAATATCGAGTCTATCGTGTGGCATAGATATCAGAGTATCAGATAGGGAAACTCCGAATAGTTTTTAGGCCTTGTGACCCGGGTGTAGCTTTAAGGGTCTTCTTTCCAACGCACGTTCACGCTCACCTTTATCGCTCATATTTCTCTCCCTGCCCTAATGTGGTCAGAGAGGGTCCCAGGCAGTTCCCAGGACTTGTGACCCGGGTGTAGGTTTAAAGGCCTTCTTGTCGACGTACGTTAACACTTACCTTCATCGCTCATGTTGCTCCCTGCCCTAACCTGTAGAGCTATTCTCTAAGCATCACTTACGAATTCAAAAGCGAAATCCGCAATTGAGATCGTACATTGGTTTTCTTTAAAACTCGATAGCGACTGCAGTGTTACACGCTCGAGAGTAGGATGGAGGTAAAACAGGCACTAGTGATTTTTATCAAAGAGGGAACTCAGTGTTTCCGGGACTTATGACCCGAGTGTAGGTTTCAGCTTTCCGCTTCACATCCTATGTGGTTGTAGCCCACTCATGTATAAACGAAATATCTCCTTTGGAAAGTTTACACTCTATCCCGAGGAGATAAAAACCATCGCTCTTAGGAGTGATGATATTCTTAGGAATATATAGGAGGAGGATATTCTTAGGAATATCCTTCAATTCTTGTCCCTGACGGATCTAGGTAGCGAACTTTGAAAAAGGGCGAGCACAATAGATCTATGTAGGTCGCAGTGCTACAGGTGCTACAAACATCTGATAATAGCCCAAACAACCCAATAAAAAAAAAAGTAGGTTTCAGCCATTTTGCCGAAGTACGCCAACACTCACCTTCACCGCTCGTGTTTCTCTTCCTGCTGAGCCTAATCTGGTTGGAGCCTGCTGGATTTGCTTTAGAAACGCGTTCTAATGTAGTGTATAGGTTATAAAATTAGAGTGTAACGAGTCATGACATTAGTCCTATGATATCACGAGGCATGTCCTCTATCATGGATATCATTTGATGACGTGATCCATGATATGATGTTCATATATATAGGTGATGCTTGATACCATCACGTGTGGCGTTAGCTTTATTACCATTGCAGTTTTTTTTATAATTGTAATAGCAAACTAACTGATGGGAAGCGATAACCGTTGCCTATACTTGAACAGCACTACGGACGTCAGATTTTCATGTGACACATCGTGATACCCCTCATACGTTGCCATTCCAGACTACTAAGATGTAATGCCTCTTATCCTGTAATTTCACTGCCTAATCTGCACCCTACAACTGAAACACACCTTATAAACCAAGCGACTTCGCGGCTGTAGTAAGTGAGACTCCGGTACCTGTAGTATATGTGCGAAAGAGAAAGAAATATTATGTCGTCTCTATCGCACACTGCTGGCGTAATGCGGGCTGTAAACGACTGAGAACATAGATGTGTATCTGCGAGCCGAAAACTAAGACAAACAATACAGTACCCATTTAGACGACTTTTTACAGTCTACCCTCAGTTACATATAAAAAAATCGGGGTGTGGCTGTGTCATAGACACGGCCGTGGGTTTTATAGGAATACGTAAATACTTAACGACTGATGAGATGTGATACTTGTTATGGCAACATTTTGCTTTCATCAGGTTCAGGACTTCAAGACTGCTAGACCGCTAGACCACCGAGTGTCAAATTGCCACCGCGTGGAAACAAATTTAAAGACCTATTCACGTCAAAATACATAAGTACCTATTGCGTTTATGAACAATAAATTAAAGAATACTTCAGCTCTGTAAACACACGAGGCCTGTCGCCCATTTATCGTACCCAGCTGAAATACAGCGCCGGTCATGTTTAGCGACAGGCCTGGCCTGCTCCACGCATCCAAACATCGGATATATTGCTGATAATCCGACAATTTATTTGATGGGTAAAAAACGGGACGTTGTTGGAAACAAAGGATAGCATAGTATAGATAAGACTTCCAAATAAAATTAGGTACACTATATTTCTATCTCTTTCTATAATCCAAACAAATAATTGATAGTGTAATATGGATAAGGCTTTTTATTAAAATTACGTACAGTCTATTTCTATCTCTTTCTATCGTCCAAACAAATAATTGATAGTGTAATATGGATAAGGCTTTTTATTAAAATTACGTACAGTCTATTTCTATCTCTTTCTATGACGTAAGCAAACTGTTAGCATAATGTGGACAAGGTTTCTTAATAAAATTAGATACACTCTTTTTTTTATATCTTTCTGTTGTATAAGTTTTCAACGAATATCATTATGTAGGCAAAGCTTTTTAATAAAACTAGTTATACTATATTCCTATCTCTTTCTATAGCGCAAGCAAACAATGTATAGTATAATGTGGACATGACTTTTAAATAAAATTACGTACAGTCTATATCTATCTCTTCCTGCTGTACAAGTAAACAACGAATATCATATTGTAGACAAAGTTTCTTAATAACATACTAGTCTATTTCTATCTCTGTCTATGGTGCAAGAATACAACTGACAGCATAGTTTGGACAAGGCTTGCAAATAAAATTACGTACAATCTATTTATATCTCTTTCTACAGTGCGAGCAAACAACTGATAGCATAATGTGGACAAGGTTTTTTTTTTAATAAAATTAGGTACACTCTATTATTTTACTCTTATCTAGTATAAGTTTTCAATGAGTATCATTGTTTAGACAAAATTTCTTAATAAAATAAGTACACTCTATTTCTATCCTTTTCTATGGCGCAAGGAAAGAACTGATAGCTTAGTGTGAACAAAGTTTCTTAATAAATTTAGGTACAGTCTATTTCTATCTCTTTCTACAGTGATAGCATAATCTGGACAAGGTTTTCTAATAAATTTAACATCCTTGATATTTAAGTACAAAGATACAATTTGTTATTAAGCGATTATTTATATGAATTGAAATAATAAATCTGGCGGCGCTAGCAGACAGCTCGAAATTGATAACATTTATAATATTGTATAAAATAACAAGAATCAATTTGTCGCAGTCAAAATCACAAATTGGATATTTTCCTTTAATTAAAATCATATTGGACGGAATATATTTATTTATATTTGTTAAGTAGCGTTTGTAATGTAAGAATACAACAAAAAAACTACAGAATCGTTTTTTACACTAGATATATTCTATGGTAACTTAGCGGTAAATTCGTGAAAAATCTTATATACAAAATTCTCGTGTCGCAATTCTAGTTGTGACCTATGGAGACCTTTTGTGAGGACTTAGGTGCAGGTTTAAGAGCTTAGCAATAGCCCAAACTTTAACTTAATATTATTTTAAATTCAATTTTTTTTAATGGAAGTATATATTTAATCTTAAACCTTATGCCAAGAGGCTTCACTTTTCCATATATCATTTATATATTTTTTATTCAATTTCATTTATTCCATTCGAACATGTGCTAAGTTGTTGCTCATTAAATTCAATTTTTTTTAATTGATGTCTAAATTTAAACATAAACCTACTTACACCAAGAGGCTTCACTTTTCCATATATCATTTATATATTTTTTATTCAATTTCATTTATTCATACAGATTTCATTCTGACCCATGCTAAGCTGTTGCTAATTAATCTCTTGTCGTATCTACTCTATTCTTTTAAAGAGATTTATTGTTCTCCGTGTACAGCAAACGCTTTGCTTTATATGATCACTAGCTGTCCCGGCAAACGTTGTTTTGACTTAAAATAACAATAAAAAATAGATGTTGGCCGATTCTCAGACCTACTCAATACGCTCACAAAATTTCATGAGAATCGGTCAAGCCGTTTCGGAGGAGTATGGGAACGAAAACTGTGACACGAGAATTTTATATGTAAGATTTACTAAACTGTATATTTGAATAATATAAAAATATTGTATTGTTTTTTTTTAAAAAGTAAGCATAAAACATAAACAACCAATAGAGTGGTATCCAAGAGAATATATCATGTAGGTCATTCTATTTGATATAATTTATCTCTAATATCATCATTACATAGTATGAAACAAAGTCGCTGTCCCTGTCTGTCCCTATGTATGCTTAAATCTTTAAAACTACGCGACGGATTTTGAAGCGATTTTATTAATAGATATAGTGATTCTAGAGGAGGGTTTATTATATAATACATGTACAAGCGGGCGAAGCCGGAGCAAGTAGCTAGTGTATAATAAACTAGCTATTACATGCGACTTCATCTGCACAAGCTGTGACCACCAATTCCACTTTCTTTGCAGGTTATTTTTAAGACAAAAGATAACTTACGGCTATTCTTATAATAAAAAGTATATACATACTAGCTGTACATGCTAACTATCGATATATTTTTTTTATGGATGATAATGGAATGGAGCGTCCGCCTGCGCTGACGGTTTACGCTGGCGGGGCACCAGTGGAGGATGATAAGAGCATGAGGTCAGGTCAGTTAGCACATCGTGACAAATTCACCAGGAATTTATCACGATGGTTTCCAGGAGGAACCGCGTGGAGGTCAACCTGACATGGTACATTGCTAGCAATATCGATATATCGTATTTATATACTATATATGCCCGCGGATTTATCCGCGTTAAATTTCAATAAAAAATATAGCCTATATGTGATTCTGAAGTATATTATATTACTGTAAAGTTTCATCAAAATCCATTCAGTAGTTTTTGCGTGAAAAAGTACCATACTTACAAACTTTCGCGTCTATAATATTGTTAATAATATTAAGATATATATGTAAATTATCATATTGTCTGTATGTAACGGGAATAGCAAAAAAATAAGAAGCAATCTGTAAAATATCATTATAGAAATAAAAATACAAACCAACAGCGAGCAATCGAATTTCATACATAATAGAAAACTTCCGTTTGGATTGTTTAAAAAAAAATACACTGATATTATAGTTCAATGTAAAACGCTCTTAGTGTAGTAGTTTTAAGGTTTATTTCGGCTTGAAATCATTCTATTACTGCTGTTACATACAACGCGTCCCTTACGGGCTCTTGAAATTCAGAGTGTACTGAAGTTTATTACTTGGAACAGATTGGAAAATAGTGAGTCTGTAGTAGAAGAAATGGTATAGATACACTTGGTACCTATAATAATAATAATAATAATAATAATAAGAAATTCGAGAATAGAAAGTGTATGAATAAAAAAAAAATTAATAAACTATAAGTACACGTACACACACTCCCACACAATCACTGCACTTACTTCGTAAGTGTGGTAAAAAACTAGGCAAAGCTGAGAAAATGCTACAATAGTGAAAATAATATATTACCTTCGTTTAAACCGACAAAAGAAGGGAACAAACTGTAAAAATAATATATATATAAAATGAATAAACTACTCCACATTCCACTACAGAAGGCTGTTATCTTAGATACGTGTGCAATAGTCCGACGCTACCTAAATGCTACAACAGAATAAAGATGAAAATCATCACCAAATAAAGTAACGAGAAACTTGGCATGTCCCGTCCTCGGTACATGCAAAGCCAGCAAAGCATTAATCACCAGCAAAGCTGTGAAAAAGAGAAAATAATATATATACATATCGATATATTAATGAACTATTGATATAAATAGTAATAAATAAAATATTGATATAATAATAACTAATAATAATAATAAATAATCCTGCATAATTAACACACCGCCATCTAGTCCCACTGTAAGCAGAGCATGTGTTATGGGTACTAGACAACTGATATAAATACTTAGATGATTTCTTTTTTCTAAATACAGACATAATATACATAGAAAACACTCAGACCAATACAAACAATCATAATCTAGAATACAAATGTTTATGCCGTGCGAGGAATCGTACCCCTGACTATTGGAATTAAATTGGTGTGTAGCTAAACCGCTTGATCACCGAGGCCATTCGTCGTTGTTTATAAAAAAATATTTGATTTTCTATTTTTTAAATCTTAAATATACAGTTTTTTTTTAAATTGTGATTATGGAATGGTGCGCTAACGGTTTACGCTGGCGGGGCACCAGTGGAGGATGATAAGATGAGCATGAGGTCAGGTCATCGTGGTAAATTTTCCATGAATTTATCACGATGGTTTCTAGGGCGAATCACGTCATTGAGCTACCTAAAATATGGTCGAGCGCAGTGATGGCTGGCTCATCCGTCATACTCGTGAACGAGTGCTGCTTATAGGGACTGGTCTGCTCTTATTACTACGACTGATTTAATCTTATTGTGTATTTATATTTAATCCTAATAAATTAGTGTTGTTGGTAGTTTATATTGACACGTTTCGAATTGTGTAATGTGAACTTACAAGGATTGTTTAAAAGAGCAACACACAAGTCTCTTGCTCGTTCTTCTTGTGATGAGACAGCTTTCCGAATGAGTGGTAGATTAAAAAAAAACATTGCTATCACTCTTCAAAAGTGCTTAAATTGAGTTTATTTGAATGAATGATTTTCTATTCTATTCCACTCTATTCTATTCATGTGGAACAACCTGACATGATACATTGGTGGTAATGGAGTTACTAGTCTAAATACTAACAATCCCCTACTAATACTAACAATACACATTATAAGTAGGTAGGGTCGAACCCCTAGGGGTGTCCTCAGACTAAAGTCGTATCCTTCAGGTGGGAGTTGGCCTTCAGCCGTTCCATAAATCCTTCCTCTAGTTTGGAGTGCATTCGCACTCGCCTCCTATCTTCCGGTGAAGCTGTAAAGGCCAGCTGCGGCCAACAGCATTAGAGTATGTTGTATATATACTAGGTAGCCAAAGCTATTGTATTGCAGTTTTTTATCCTGTAATGCATAACCATCTACTCGTATAGATCTACCGTTCACATCAGTCTTGCGCAATCAGGCAACACAATAGTGTAATCCTATAGCCACAAAAACAACAATATTTTTTTTCATATCTTTATTTTTTTCTCAATTTTAATAATATAATACTAATAATAATAGGACCAATTATAAAACGCCATCTAGTCCCGAACTAAGCAGAGTTTTTTTTTGTGGATGATAATGGAATGGTGCACCCGCCTGCTCTAACGGTTTACGCTGACGGGGCACCAGTGGAGGATGATAGGATGAGCATGAGGTCAGGTCAGTTAGACCATCGTGACAAATTCACCAGGAATTTAACACGATGGTTTCCAGGGGGAACCGCGTGGAGGTCGACCTGACATGGTACATTGCTAGCAATGGGGTTATCAATCCACATTACTAACAATCCCCTTCACACTACTAAGCAGAGATTGTGTTATAGGTACAAAAAAAGTGATAAAAATAAATAAATATTTATATATTTTGAACTACTTTCAAATATATGTAGGTATATAGGATTAAAATAAAACAATATATTTTTCTTCTGTTTTATCTCTGTATTTATTTAATATTATACTATAGATATCGTTATTTATAACTAGGATGGCAATTGAGTTAATAATAACTTGAATTAACAATATATTATTCTTTCCAGCTGTCCGCAGAAGATTGAGGAAACCAACCAAAGTATCCACATCAGTGACATCCAGCGTATCCAGATCCACAGATCAACTGATATCTGCTAGTGTGAACAGGCCAAAGATCCGTGGTCGGCCCACTATTGCGAGTAGAAAATCATCAGCTGCTATTGATAATTCCGTTGCCACTGATGACCACAGAGATAAAGATGGTTACAAGGTCAGTTGCATTTATATTCCTTTACTTTCAAATTTATTTGTTACCATTTTTTTGTTTTTTCTTTTAAATATTTTAAAATCAATACATACTAAAACTAACTAAATAATCAAATCATAACATAAATTTTAGATTTACACAGACAAGAAGTTTTTTAAACATATAGCAGTAGGAAAATAAGATATACAATAAATAGGAAGATCAATAATTAACTCTTAAAAATATGAATGTATAGTTTGATGAGTACAACCATTAAACATAATAATAATAATAATAAACTTTATTCATAAATGTACGGTACAATTAAATATAGTTAGCCCTGGCTTTCGATATAGGTGAACCTGTGCCATCCTGCCTGCTCTGTGATAATATGCAACCAAAGCAAAATTGAGAAATTAATTGTCAACAATGGAAAATTAGTAATGTGTAAATTATTAACGTATTCATTAGTGACAGACCTCCAAATTAGAATTTGCTATATATATTTTAAGGTATTGATGGTGTAAATATAGAAGTCATAAAATGAGATCCATTAAAAGTAAATAGGATTCTGCATTAAAAAGTTTAAAGTAAACCAGCATCTCATCGCTTTATTTACATAAAATTCTTTAAAGACATTTTAAAACAAGCAAAGAATTCATTTTAAAACGCTTCTAAAAGATGTTTCCATTACTCATAGTTGTTAAAAATGAACGATGTAACCAAAATAGCGAGCTATATTTCCTGTTACCTATATAGAAAGGTTGTATTTCCCTTTGATAGACACGCCAGGAAAAGGTAGTGGTCCTAGCAGCGAACCTTGTGATACAACTCCGCAAACTTATATCTTTCGTTTGAAAAACAGTGCGCTGTATAATTATCGACCTAAATCCCTCGCCATAAGTGTCGATTGTTAATTTTAAAACCATACAGATAAAGTTGTCACAGTAAAGTACAACACGGATGTGAATAAGCTTTTTGAACGCAACCACAGTGAGTTGTTAGCCTTCAAAATGAATATTTGCTTACGTTTTATTTGCAAACTTTTAGAGCTCTTATTTTTAATGTAAAAGAGTTGATTTTATTCTGCTTATTTCAAGTTGATATATATTTAAATCAGTACTAATATTTTATGAAAGTTATGAAAGTACATTAAGAATTATTTGCTTTTCTTGCTAAGAATCTGTATTATTGTTATTAAGAATTGTAATTAAAAGATTATGGAAAGTGTTACAAATGAACCGGTATTCGTAATGTGAATTTACTGACATAAACCTTGTACAAAGTGCTTGAACATTTTAGCATACCTATTTCAGCCGTCAAGCAGCTTGCTTTACAAGCTGTTTCAGTTGTAGAGTACAAAAGGTAGTGATATTACAGGACAAAAGGCATGACATGTATTAGTCGTCTGTAAAAGCAACCCATCAGTAGTATCATGAGCGTCACATGATAAAGTGATATCCGTTGTGTTGGTTGCGCTGCTCATGTATATAGGCGACGGTTGCCATTTACTATCAAGTTAACTGTCAGCTAGTTTGACATTCCAATGAAATAAAAATTAGTCTTCATCTATACATATAAATAAAATTAGACTGTCTGTTTGTAATATTGAAATAACCATTTTTTACTACATCCATATGAATATAAATACGGTACATACACCAAAATAACATTTTTTACAATTTTTGTCTGTCTGTCTGTTTGTTCCGGCTAATCTCTGAAATGGCTGGACTGATTTTGACGGGACTTTTTTTGGCAGGTAGCTGATGTAATAAGGTGTAACTTAGGCTACTTTTATGAAAAAAAAATTCCACGCCGACGAAGTCGCGGGTACAGTTAGAAATATTATAAACGCGAAAGTTTGTATATATTAATGTTTATTACTCTTTCACGCAAAAACTACTGAACGGATTTCGATGAAAATTTACAGTAGTATAGGTTATACATCAGAATAACACATAGGCTATATTTTTAGCTAACACAGCTAGTAATTAAATAATTTAAAGAATAAATATTGTTAATTAATATAATTAAAACATATTTACAGATCGTATGTTACTACACGAACTGGTCTCAGTATAGGACGAAAATCGGCAAATTCCTACCTGAAGACATATCGCCTGATCTGTGCACGCACATCATCTTTGCTTTCGGCTGGCTCAAGAAGGGGAAACTCAGTTCTTTCGAGTCCAACGACGAGACGAAAGATGGAAAAACTGGTCTCTACGATAGGATCAATCAACTGAAAAAGGCTAATCCTAAACTGAAGACTCTGCTGGCTATTGGTAAGTTATTTATGATCAATTTTTAGTTATTATTTTGCCTTAGTGACGTCATATATGTTTAAACATATACGACCTTAATAAAGTTTGTCTCTATATCTATAACGAGAGATATACTTTGTACAGTTCTAAGTTTGAGGGTGAGATGTGGTAGCGAAATTATAGGAGGCTTCTAAATCAAAATATCTTTATTCATGTAGGTCTATGACCGACTTTTGTGATATCTCAAATTTACAGTCAGTTCTTACTTTCGAGCTAAGGAGAACTAACAAGCAACTCAGATTTTATTCCGTTCAGTCCCATCCATACTCACAAACTTTTGCGTTTATACTATTAAATAAGATATTCCAGGAAGCATGGCTACCCCTATTTATTAGTGTATTCTTCATCACCGGAGAGTTAGTCAAACTAAATGACACCCAAAGTTATTAATCTCCGTCAGATTCGATCTCATCCCATCAATATATCATACCGCTACAGTACTACTTTCTGTGGATATACTCATAATATCTATAGAAATAGAAATAATCTTTATTCAAATAAACTCATTACAAGCACTTTTGAATAGTCATATTTTGATTCTACAACTCATTCGGAATGCAGATTCATCACAAGAAGAATGAGCAAGAAACTTGTGTGTTGCTCTTTTGAATAGATATTTTTTTTATAATAATTACAGTATAACAAGTAAGAGGCATGCGATAATCAACATAGAAATCGCTACGCACTCATTATTAGTGTAATCAGATATTGTCAGTGCTATGGACTTTAAGTTTTTCTATAAAAACATTATTGTCGTTAACAAATTCTTCGATTTTATAGTAAGCTTTTTTGCAAAGGAAGTGTTTTATATGACATTTAAATCTTTTCAAATCAGATTTATAACAGACTCTGGTATTTTGTTGTAAAACCTTACGCAATTGCCATAAAACGATTTACTAACTTTAGTTAAAAAAAACATTTAGGTAAAATTAGTTTGTTATTGTTATGTAAGATATCTATTTATAGAATCATTATAACACTACGTTCTGTGTATATAAGTATGTTTTTGCTAATCGCGTGCTATTCTGGTATATTATGATTGTTTCTAGAGCCCATTATGGGCTACAGATTGCAGGTGCCTACGTTATTCAATCAGATAATAGCTAGTTCAGTTTTTATTTGCTCTACAACTCGATTCTATGTAACATTTCATACTATCCGAACTGATATAGTGACGTTCTGTAGACTTATCGATATTGCTGATAATCACTATTACTTATTTATTTTATTGTTTAATTATCTGTGTGCCTTATGATTCTGTGCTATTAGGTAGGTTGTTTAAAGTTTTGTTTGTAACGCTTTATTGTACAATAAATACATTGATAATTATAGGATACAATGATCTTAAGTTAAAGTTACATATCGTCGGTTAAATAGAAAAACGGCAATATTCAAAATGTACATTTTTTTTTACAAGACAAGCAGTTTTTTTAAGTTTTTTTTTTTAATTTATATAATTATTTTTCATTTTAAAGTTTTAAATTTATACAGAATTATTATATAATATTTTAAAAGTATTTAGATAGTGATTAAGACGGCGCGGTTAATTTAATTGAATTATATAAAAGGAGGCAACTCTAGGTTCTAAATTTGAAAAATGTAATTTTTCTTAATCGACGATATAATATATTTAAAAAAAAAACAAGAATCTATTAACAGTTGGCAACGTGCATGTGACACCCCTAGTTTCAGGCGTCTATAAGCTATGCTAACATTTACCATAAAATAAGCATACTAACCGTAAGCTTGTTTGTCACCATCGTAGTATGAAAAAATAACTAGACATTCTCTAATTTGCTGTTCTATTACACTAAACGGTCTAAAACCTAAGTTATCCCGAACAGTGCGGTTTCAGAGGAGTTTCCTCCCGCGTACACTTAGATTGTGGAATGAACTTCCTGCCGAGGTTTTCCCACGAGACTACAGCATGGGGTTGTTCAAGAAGGGTATATTAAGGTTCCTTAAGGGTCGGCAAGTGACACCCCTGGTGTTTCATGCGTCCATAGGCTACGGTAACCATTTACCATCACATGGGCCGTATGCTTGATTGCCACCATAGTAGTATAAAAAAAAACTAAAATATTGCTAATATTTATATCAGTTAAAGAATATTAATTTTGCTAAAAGATGTGAATCTGTGTGTAAAAATGTTATATAAATAATTTAATTTGTTTTAATTTGAGAAACATTTAATTTGTTATATAATATTATATATTATTAATTGTTATCTGTTGTTTATATAATACATAGTATAAAACAACGTCGCTGTCGCTGTCTGTCCGTCTCTATGTATGCTTAAATCTATAAAACTACGCAACGGATTTTGAAGCTGTTTGTTTTTATTAGATAGAGTAATTCAAGAGGAAGGTTTATATGTATAATACATACACCCAGGCGAAACCAGAGCGAATAGCTAGTATATATTAGATACCATTAATTGATGTATGATAATTTCTCTAATCAACTTTTAAATTTTAATGTTATATTCGTTTTACGATGTACCAGGGTTTTCTAACACCATAACAAATTAACGAAACCTGCAACATTCTAATTACCATAATAAAAACGTCGTTTAATAGGTACATCATATTGCTGTTAACTTATTAATAGTTGTACCAAGTAATGACCATGTTTAGCTACTTTCTAGAAGTCGATCTCGTACCAAAACATCTTAAATTTCTTCAGTGCAATTAGCTAATAAAAAAAAAGTTTATTTTTATTAGTTAGTATTAATTTTTATTAGTGATACATATTTTTATTTTTAAACTATATAAATATTATACAAATAAGTTCTCATCATTCGTACTAGTCTATATGCACCTATGAATCCGTTTCTGTGTACATAATTAAACCTAAAAACATTCAATAACCAGTATCAACTACTTTCTTAGATCATTAAACACTAGTGACATAGCCCAGCATCACTCGGGTGCAATTATTGTAACTAACTATTTTTTATATACTTATTACTTGCGGATATTATATATTACACTAGCTGCGCCCGCGAGTTCGTCCGCGTAAAATGACAATACTTCCATAGAACCATTCATATTCCCTTTCAACCCCTTGCAACCCTTTTTTCACAATAAAAAGTAGCCTATGTCCTTTGTCAGGGTCGAGACTATCTGTGTACCAAATTTCATTTAAATGGGTTCAGTGGTTTAGGCGTGAAAGCGAGACAGACAGACAGACAGACAGAGTTACTTTCGCATTTATAATATTAAGTAAGGATTATATTATAATATAACACGTTAATTATATGGATGTATATATTTAAACAGACGTTAATTTAGACAGATTGTTTCTGCAATGATTAATTTGTTTAAATTCATATACCATTATTCTTAACATTGAAACAAAAATTTTGTACCCTTTTTTATGAAAGGTGCGCGGACGGTGTGGTATGAAATTTCGCCCACCTATATAAATAGAGACTACAAAATGCTATTTTTTTTTAAATTATGCTTACTATACACTATAACCTTTGACAAACATACGCATACAGCTATAGTTTTTGACAGTAGAACCTTATTAATATTGAAATTTGTAATTTAAATTAATTACGGTCGTATTTCGACCATTAGGCCATCACTGGTATTGAGTTAAAAGTGTCTATTTTTATATTGAAACAATTTTTTTATATAATATTTGACTTTAAGAAATCAAATTATACAGCAATTTGTAGTTCCGTATTTTTTTTTAATATTTTATAACAAATATTACACAATTGTTACGTAGATTGTAAATATTATATAACTTAGTCGAATAACATTATTTACCAAAACAAAGACATCTATTTCATAATTTTATAGTAATTGCGTAAGTTTTTACAACAAACTACCAGAGTCTGTTCTAAATCTGCCTGAAAAAAGTTAGAAATGTCGTATAACACACATCCTTTGTAAAAATCATATTATAAAATAGAAGAGTTCATTAACGATAATAAGGTTTTTTGTAGAAAAACTTAAATTTCATAGTACTGACAATATTATCTGATTATCGCATGCCTCTTACTTGTTATTGTGTATATATAAATAATGTATATAAAAAACATCTATTCAAAAGAGCAACACACATTTCATTGCTCATTCTTCTTGTGATGAATCGTTCCGAATGAATGGTAGAATCAAATATATGACTATTCAAAAGAATAGAATAGAATAGAAAATCATGTACCTATTCAAATAAACTTACATTGAAGCACTTTTGAATAGTCATTACATTTTTTTAATCTACCGCTCGTTTGAAAAGCTGTCTCATCACAAGAAGAACGAGCAAGAAACTTGCATGTTGCTCTTTTAAATAATTTTATTATTACTTTACATTTTTAAGTTTAAGTGTGTGAATACAAACCACCAATTAGCACTAATTCAATTAAATACTCAAAAAGAAAAAATATTGAATATATAACCAACTGGTTAAACAATTAATAAGAGGAAATCAGTCATAGTGATTAGAGCAGACCAGTCAAGTGCTTGTATTGAGTTTATTTGAATAAAGATTATTTCTATTTTATAATTCTGTATATCGATATCACCTAGTATGCGTGTCCCCTCACTATTCTATGTGCGAACGGCCCGTAGCTTTCCCACGGTACAAAGAGTCGTTGTCGGCATTTTCACCTGTTTTCACGGGAACACCTACAAAAAAACGCTCCCATTTTCATAAGAGCGAAAGAACGTATGGTGGCGCAACACTGTACTATGTACTGTGAAATAGTGATATCGACACTATCGTGGTATGGACATGTAATGCGTAGGAACGAGGATGATATTATAGAAAGGTGTTACATATAAATGTGGATGGTTATAAGGGCAGAGGAAGGCCGAAAAAGAGATGGATGGACTGTGTGAAAGATGATATGGTAAGAAAGGAAGTAAATAACGCGATGACTGCGAACAGGGATGAATGAAAGCGAAAAACAAATAAATGGGATAAGGAAGAAGCAGATGATGATGATAATGAAATAGTGATATCGACATTATGTTTTTTGTGGTTATTTACCTACACTATTTTACTTTGGTATACTTATATTGCATGCCGAGTTTGCTAAAGTTTCCGGTTATTTTTTTAAATACTCTCTAGAGGCGCAAACTGTTTGCCTAATGGGAAATGAGCTGTAGTTTCTTTAACGGCCTCGGTGGTCTTGTGGTTTAGTTCACCGCTTTATTAACGGTGGCGCGGGTTCGATTCCTCGCGCGCTACTAACATTTGTATTATTGAGTATGATTGTTTGTCGGTCTGATTGTATTCTATGTATATTATGTACGTATTTACAAAAAAATATGTATATGTTTATATCAGTTTTCTAGTACCAATAAGATAAGCTCTGCTTACTGAGTGACTAGATAGCTCTGTGTTAATAGTCCAGGGTTATTTATTTATTTTCAGACTGCCTCTGTACACAGTACAAATTGGGTACAATTTGAGCAAAGTCGACTGATATATGTATCACATTATTAAAGAAATCTTTTCTATTAGGTGGCTGGTCTTTCGGCACGCAGAAGTTCAAGGAGATGTCAGCTTCACGATATGCTCGGCAGACCTTCATCTACTCTGCCATCCCGTACCTTCGCGACAGGAACTTCGATGGACTCGACGTGGACTGGGAGTACCCTAAAGGTGGTGATGATAAGAAGAACTACGTGCTGTTACTCAAAGGTAAGGTTTTCATAATATATATATATATACTAGTTTTTCATCTATACTCTATGCATACATATATATAGTATCTTGTAGAATGTCTGTTTGTAATATTGAAATAACCGTTTTTTACAACATGCATATGAATATAAATAGGGTACATACACCAAAATGTTTTTTTTACAATTTTTGTCCGTCTGTCTGTCTGTTTCGGCTAATCTCTGAAATGGCTGGATCGTATACACTTCTAATATTATGAAATTTGTGAGTATGGAGGATCCTCACAAACTTCATAATAATAGTAAGATGTCCTAAAAAAAAATTTGATATAGATAGTTATATAAAATATACTTTATTCATTACATACATTAAAGAAAATATATAAACATCATTACATAGTATAAAACAAAGTCGCTGTCGCTGTCTGTCCGTCTCTATGTATGCTTAAATCTTTATAACTACGCAACGGATTTTGAAGCGGATTTCTTTAATAGATAGAGTGATTCTAGAGGAAGGTTTATATGTATAATACATGTACATCCGTACAAAGCCGGAGCGAGTAGCTAGTATATTATATACCACATCTATAATTAAAATAAGACAGTAAAAAATATCAATAAAAATCACTTCGGTAGTTTCCGAATAGCGCAATTTCTCTCAATATTTCGCTCGAAATGTTTTACTTTAAATGTAATCTTTTCGGAATTGCAATATCTGTGGATGCCGGGGTCCGACCAAATATTGGCAAATGTCGGCCGCACTAGCCAGGTGCTCTATTTAAATACAGCCTTACAACCGATGGAAGTGACACGAAAACTAATTTTAATTGACGACCTCAGTGGTCTAGCAGTTAGAACGCTTTATTTCTGATGGTCGCGGGTTCGATTCATCGCACGCTGCAAATTTGTATCGAGAATTAAACCCATTAGCGTCTGAAATAAGCGGTACACTAAACCACCACTTTATAATGTTTACATAGTATAAAAAAGTTGATTAGCTTATATCTTTTAAATTACGTAACGGATTTTAATGCAGTTTTCAGCAATAGATAGAGTGATTCGAGAGGAAGGTCTCTAAATATATAAAACTCAAAGGTGACTGACGTAGTGATCTATCAACGCACAGCCCAAACCACTGGACGGATCGGCCTGAAATTTGGGATGCAGGTAGATGTTATGACGTAGGCATCCGCTAAGAAAGGATTTTGATTAATTGCACACCCATAGGGATAAAATTAACGCGGGATGAAAGTATATATGAATATATTGTCAATTTTAAAGCCGATCGAATTCAATGATTTGTAATAATAGTTTATTGCAAAATATAAACAGTAAGGCTTTTGGTTAAGGATTGAATGAATGACGAAAGAATGAAATTATTATGATTATTTATTACCTTTTTTTTTTTTGGATGATAAATTAACGCGAGCGAAGCCACGGGCAAAAGCTAGTGTATAATATATGCAAGTTATAGTATAGAACAAGCCGACAAATTCAATGATTTGTAATAATAGTTTATTGCAAAATATAAACAGTGGAGGCTTTCACATGGTACATTGAATGAATGACGATTAGAATGAAATTATTATCTATTTATTACCTTTAGGACAGTTTAATATTATAAAGTATTGAAAATATACTAAATATTGAAAGTTATCGTAAATGACCCAATAAAACCCGACAAGTAGTTACCACAAACAATCTAAATATCACCTCCGCTAAACTCATTATTATGCATATACAAACATACTATTAGTTCCGTTCTTCAATGATCTTTGCCCCGATGAGAGCGAGAATAAATTAAAAATTTAACATCTTCCGGCATAAAACTAATTCTATACAACTCGCTAGTACTTGTGATGGTTTGTTAACTATAAAAAAAAAACTAATGTAACTTCAAACCGGCGGTGATCGGAATAATAATAATAATACCAGGACAATGCACACAGCGCCATCTAGACCTAAGTTAAGCTAGCTAAAGCTTGTATTATGTGTACTAAAAATAACTGATACAAATACATACATTTTTTTTCGTGAATACATATATAGAAAACACCCAGACCGATACAAACAATCATACTCATGAATACAAATGTTTGTGCCTTGCGAGGAATGCGACTATCGGAATCGAACTACTCTAATGCTGTTGGCCGCGACTATGGCACTCCAAACCCGCGGAAGGACTAAAGGCCAACTCCCTCCTGACGGATACGACTTTAGTCTGAGGGCACCACTAGGGGTTCGAACCTCGGCTCAGGCCATCGTAATTTCGATCCCCGTTTGAATTGGACCACCGAGGCCGTCGGTGGTCTAGCGGTATAAGGTGCATACATTTGTATTCATGAGTATGATTGTTTATATCAATCTGGGTGTTTTCTATATATAATATGTATGTATTTACAAAGAAAAAATATCTAAATATCTGTAAAAAAACTATGTGTTTAGTAGTCTAGTACCCATAACACAAATTCCGATTAGCTTGGGACTAGATGGCGTTGTGTGAATTGTCTACTTTATTATTATTATTTCACTACTCGCCCTGGCGTCGCAATGGTGTACAAGTATTATACATATAAACCTTCCTCTTGAATTACTCTATCTATTAAAAAAATCGCTTCAAAATCCATTGCGTAGTTTTAAAGATTTAAGCATACATAGAGACGGACAGACAGCGACAGCGACTTTGATTTATACTATGTAATGATTTAGCCAAGTAAAAAAAACCGTGTACCATACCATACTCTTCGATAAAAGTACTCAATGCAATTAAAACCATAAAATATTAATTAAACCCATGGAATTCATGTTGCACTTTTTAATATCTGAACTTATAAAACCAGTTTGCATTAACAGTTTCGTAATTTCACGTACATTCTTGAAATGTATTGATAGTTTATGCTTAACAAAAATTAATTAAACTCAGTTTCTAGCATTCTAAGAACATATGTCTATATTAGCAACTGACCAACTTGTGGTTTAGAATTAAAAAATAACTTTATATAGTATAAAATAAAGTCGTTGCTCTGTCTGTTCGCTTAGATCTATTAAACTACGCAACTGATTTTTATGCAATTTAGCAATAGATAGAGTGAAGGTTTCAAGAGGAAGGTTTATGTGGATAATGAAATGAAATTGATTGCTGTCTGTACGTAATATATATATATATATGAGAGTACATATTATTTTATAAAAAACTTTGTCAATGTAATAGAATCAAAAACAAAGATTATCAGATTTTTTATCATTTTGTCTGTGCGTTTGCACACAAAATGCTAATCTCAGAATTGAATTAACAGATTTGGGTGCAGTTTTAACTAATATACTGTGATACGCTTCGATGAAAATTTTGTGTTCGTTTTATTTCAAATTCGGTTTAATAAAAAAATGTTACATATTTTTATTATTATGAAGGCCTCGATGGTCTAGCGGTTTAGCACACCACCTTACTTCCGATGGTCGCGTGTTCGATTCCTCGCACGGTACAAACAATTGTATTCACGAGTGTGACTGGGTGTTCTCTATTTACATTAAGTACGTATTTACAAACAAAAAATTATAAATATATTCATATCAGTTGTCTAGTACCCATAACATAAGCTCTGCTTAGCTTGGGTCCAGATGGCGCTGTGTGAATTGTCCTGAGATATTATTAATACTTATATGATCTTTATATTTATGGGACAAATTAGTATTTTTACTTATTGACTTAAAATATGCCCTATAATATTATAAATTATTACATAGTATAAAACAAAGTCGCTGTCACTGTCGTCCGTCCCTATGTATGCTTAGATCTTTAAAACCACGCAACGGATTTTGAAACGGGTTCTTTTAATAGATAGAGTGATTCAAGAGGAAGGTTTATATATATAATACATATGTATATACACCAATGCGAAGCTGGGGCGAGTCGTTAGTTTATTAATAAATTAAAACGTGACGTTTATATAAATGCTTTATTAATTGCCGTCTACAAATATACACACAGACAAAACCGCGAGCATGACTAGTTGAATACATTCCTAGAAACAGGAACAATCATGTTTAGAATAGCTCCAGCAACAATGAAAATATTTTTGCATACACTTTTACTGGGCTTAGAATTTTATCAAGTCGCTTCAATCCGTTCTAGTGTTGTGTAATATCAAAATACAATTTATCGATATATCGATAGACTGTGTCGCCAGCCAAGCGGCCGCCGTGCTCGATTGCACCTGTCGCCGCCACCGGCAGTGGGTAGTGGCGTATAATATTTTGATGTTAAAATTTAATACATTATTAATTTTAAGATCTACTTGTACAACGCTGGTATTGATTTTAACGATGCTTATAGTTATGCAACTATAATTTGCAGCAATGGTTACAAAAAAAAAAAAATAGAAATAATTTTATAATATTATTATATATTATAAATAAATAAATAAACAAATATATTATATTAATATTATATATTTTTGTCGATTTCGTTTTCTCAGAAATTTTCATTTCTTTTTAAGTAGTCATAGTAAAATTATGAATTTATAAATGTTTCCAAGATTTTCGTTAACTATAAAGTAAGATAATAATAATGACAAGTAAAAACTTCCATAATGACAGTCACTTGCTATCACATAAAGAAAATAGCTTGTAAGAAAAAGAGCGTAACGGTACAATACCTTAACTACTCTAAGACATTTATCATTTTTATTAATAACCTCATTGTCTTGTTTACTTCGGAGATCATTCATTAATACTATAAAAAAAAATAGGTAATTATATTTATTTATTTGTAAATTTTTATCGATATACATTTTAGTGGCATCACTAATTCATAAAGGGTTTGGATTTAAACATCAAAACTCAGATCACGTTACATCACGACCTCGTCACGACATAACTGGAGTCGTGTTTAAACCGCTAAACTAAGGACTTAGAATTATTATCATCTTTCGTAATAATCCGTGTCTTTACAGGTTGAATAGATTGGGTGTAACGCAATGGATAGAAATAGTCATAATAATGTTCCTGTATAATATACAC